TCTTTGAAGGTTTTTTGTAAATGAGATTTTATGTTAATTTAAGTCTAACCAAAAGTAACTTTAATTATTGCCAGTTTGTATATTTTTTCAGGTTAAGTATTTAGGACAAATCATAGTTAAAGACGAAGGATTGTATATGTTAAATGAAGGATTGTATATATTATTTACTAAGAATAGTTTTTTTAAATGGCCTAACTTTAAAATTAAACTATGAAGGGAGAAGACAAAAAATTGGAACAGGAAAAATGTTGATTGCATAAGTTGCTATTGGTAAGTGGTTTAGAAAAGTGGTTTATTTTTCCAGTTTCAATTTGGATTACACAATTTGTTATTTTTCTTTGGTGCATAATTAAACAAACAAATAATTATTTTGCAGAAGCTGTGGAGTCAAATAAGCATAACTTAGGCAGGCATGTGATAGAGATGGTGGAAGAATAAATGATAGTCGTGGGCGCCAAATATCATTAGCTAAACATGATTCAATAACAAGTAGCTCAGCCAATATCGAAACTACTCCATAAATTTCCATAAAGTTAGTGTTTATTTCCAAAACCCTTGCATCTCACACAGTCAACTTGTTTGTTTTTTTAAAGCTGTTAAGCAAATATTACAAAAATAAGGTTGTATTTGTTAAGTTTCTAATTTATATATTTTTTTAAATTTATATAATTAATTATATTTATGTGTTATTTATTATGTGTTTGTATGTGTTAAGGTTATATGAGTTTATATTTTGTAAGCGTGTAAATATCTTTTATATATGAAGTCAGGCTTGGTCGGGAAGCGGGAGCGATCGCTCTCGATTGCTGACCACGTAAATAATATTTAGTTGCGAAAAGCTGGCCAGATTTTTTAGCCGTTTTTGAGAACATTTTAAAAAACAAAAAAAAAAAAAAAAAAAAAGCGACAAAGATTAATTGGACCGATGAGAGACAGTTATAAACAAAAAAAAAAAAAAATAGGCAAATAAAATATCTTTAAACGCAAAAAAACTTAAAGCTAAATAAATTACATTTAGAACAAATATTTTCGAAACATCGCTCTTGTACAATTTTTTTTATAAAATTAAGCGATGTTTTTTATATAAAGTAACAACTTAGATTGTTTAAAAGGGAAACAAATATTCTTTATTTAACTAAGTTTGCAAGTTTTAGTTTTACTTAAGCTTAATTTATTTTATAAATAAAAAAGTTAATTTTTTTAATACCTATTTTATGTTTCGCGTAGTTTAAAAAGTTTAACATATTAAAAGCGATTCTTCTTAGTAAGATAAACAAATGAAATAATTAAATCATTGAATTACTATAGGAATTAAATTATCAAGATAGAAATCAATTAAAAAGGTTAAAAATACTTAATGACCAGGAAGCGAAACTGCTTCACAATATCGCTGATGATGTTTAGTGAGTGGGCTTTTTAATTTTAATAAGTATTTAAAGCAGCAAAAAGTATAACGAGTTTTAAGAATGGCAATTTAAGCAAAAATAATTAGAGTTAGTAAACCTATATCTAGAAACTTTTCTTTAAATCTAATTATTTGCTATATATATTTGTGTTCTGTCGTGACCTCAGGCGCGATGCTTGTTCATCCGCGAGTTACTTTGTATGCGTTGTTTGTGTTTAGTAACCAGAAACTTCTTATATGTTTGTTACATAATTAGTTTTATTACCTTTAACGATTATAACTTCATTGAAAACGCAATTATTCTTGTAAGTCTTTGTTAAAATCATAAAAATTGCTTTAAAAGATACATTACGATAAAAAACAAATACACAAAATTACATTTACATAAAGAATACAATCTCTTTTAAAATAAAAAATTAGAATATACTAATAAAATCTATGATTTATAATAAACTTTTAAAATTTTGACAACTTAATTAATATATATTTAAAACATTTATTTTTGTAAACAAATAATAAATATTTTTAAAACAATTTATGCTAGAAATCTCAAAACCTAACATCGTGAATAATACAAATTCTAAAACATTTCAACAGAATACTCTAGAACTTTATTTCGCTTAATCAGCGTATTTTTTGAATCAATAGAATTAGTTTGTTCGTTAATTTGGCGGGTTTTTAGTGTTCGCAAATATTCTTTTTATTCTTGCGCTCAAAGAACATTCAAGTTTTTTATGTTTCATGTATGTCCGTAAAACAAAAATTTTTTGTTTCGTACATAAACATAAATGTTCTCAAAACGACTAAAAAACCTGGCCAGTTTTACGCAACTAATAATAATTTCCGTAGTCAGTATTCGAGAGCGATCGCTCCCGCTTCCCGACCAAGCCTGTGAAGTGTTTCTATGTTTGTGATATGTTATGCCTTTATAGTTTGTAAGTGGTTATAATGTTGTTTGCATGGTTTAAAATGTTTTGACTTGGCTTAGTTAACAGCAAGAGTGTTGACCTTGTTAGCCAAGTGGTATACATTGCTATAATGTGACTTGACTTTGTTGAGAGCAAGAATGTTGCATTAAGAGCATTTCAAAGTATT